CTTCATGATTTTGAGATGGAACCTTCTGGGTAGTATCAGAGGGACCAGGTGCTCCTGTGAGATCTGCAGCAATTTCCTTTGCAACCAGTTTGTTTCCAGGATTTAGGATATCCTTGTCTTCCCTTTCCTTGATCAGCTCCTCCATCTCATGGTCTCCCTTCATCACTCCTCCTCTACTTTGAATTCTAACAGGTTCACACAGATTCATGTGGAGAAGTTCCAAAGGTCTGGTAGTGCTCACACCCTTCTTTGCCTTGAAAGAAAATCTTGTTTGTTTGCCTTTTGCACAAGCATCACAAATTTTGTCATTTGAGAACTTCAGCTTTGGTAGTCCGCGGACCAGGTCCCCTGCAACAAGCTTGTTAAGTAAAGAGGTACTTACATGACCCAGTCGTCTATGCCAAAGATTTGCATCATCAGTTTGAGCACTCAGACATGACAAGTTGTTTCCCTTCAGACATAAACTTGACTTCATTTCCCTTATTGCAAATATGAAACACACTTAAGAGATTAAACTTCAGACTATCCACATAGTGTACACTTCCTATGGAATGATCTACAGTTCTTCCTATTTTGCCAATACCAAGAATAAAACTTTTCTTTCCGCTGCCAAATGACACACCACCACCTTGGTGTGCTTCCAAAGGGAGGAAGTTAAGAGTATTTCCAGTCATATGACTTGAGCATCCACTATTCTATGTACCAGCATTGACTGCTCCCTCTCTTCTGCACAAGAATCACTTATTAGACTTGGGAACCCACTTCAGACGGAGTTCCCAATAACTATCAAAAGGCTTAATAAGAAACCTTGCTGTCCAGGGGGCAAAGTGTTCTTACTGAACCGATAACGGGGACTAGGTCCCTTGAGTTCCCTTTTATCACTGTTTTCAGATCTGACAAATTTCTCATGCTTTTGTTTTGTTTTTCTCAGAGTCTCACACTTTTCTTTTCGATGACCATTACGCCCACAGTGAGTGCACAACAGATTGTCAGATACAGACACATATTTGCTATGAGGATTATAAGGAGGTTCTATTGGTCTACGTCCCAACCCTTTCTTTCCATTGAAACTCTGATTAGACAGATTAGAGAGTATCTTAGAAGAGTCAGTCCATTTTAGAGAGTGGCTTAACTCCTCCTTGACCTTACTCAGATCCTTTCTCAGTTGAGAATTTGTTTCAAGAGAAGCAACTAACTTGGACTCGAGGATTTTGAGCTTTTCTTCCAGTTCTTCCTCAAGGATGCTAAGCTTTCTCTTTCCACCTACTGAGGTACCAGGTCCCTCACTGGGTTCCAGACTATCATTCTCGAGGATACCTATCCTGATACTCAGTTTAGACATTTGAGCATTAAGAACTGAGTTTTCATCTTCGCACATACTCAACTTTTCACTTATCATCAAATTTTCAGAGGTCAGTTCATCAACTGAGTCAATTAATAGAGCAGCAAGTTTTCTCAATTTTTTAATGGTAAGAAAGTCTAAATCATCTTTAAGATCGAGAAGAGTTACCTCATTTTGATCCTCTTTATCATCGGATTTAGCCATTAAAGAGAAAATGGAGTTGAAGACATTTTCATCATCTTCAATAGCCTCTTTTGAAAGACGTCATGTTTCTTGATGATTTTCTGAAACCTTTTAGTAACATAGGCCATTTCATCCTACTCCTGAGTCGCATCATTTTGTGAGTTTTTTAGAGCAATAAATTTCTCCCTCTTTCCCTCCTTCATGTTTGTCCCCTATTTATCTATGTGAACCTTTTTAATTTTAATGAAGTCGAATTAAAATTGTAATTTTTATGAGTTATCAAACGAATTTCGTCAACCAAAAAGAGGAAAGACACAAAAAGGAAAAGGGAAAAAAAGTTAAAGAACATCATATTTTGGCTTTGATAAATTTTGTAAAACTATTGATGTTGCATATATGCCTAGGGTCAACAAATTTTTATTCTTCAATTTTTTAAAAATGACACATGGACAATAATGAGTTATTAAGAGATTTTATTTTATTTAAGGACAATATATAGCTGTCCCACCGACTTCTGATGAAACAAATTTTTAATAATTATTCAATGAATATTATTGTGCTCCTCTCCTCATTTAAACATCAGAAAATGTCATATTTGATCATGTATTATTCCGTTCATTTTTAATTGTCATGTTACATTTTTTAAAAGTCAATTTGATTAATTTTCAAAGTTAAATTAGATTATATTAATTTAATATTTTAAACAAAAAAATAGATATTCAAAAACTATAAGAAAAGTACTATAAATTGTAATTTTTGCTATTAATATGATGAAAAATACATCATAAAATGTTAGTGAAAGTTTTTATAATTTGACTCAGAAAAAGGAAATCATGACAATTATAAGTGGATGGAGGGAATATAATGAAGAAGTAAATATAAACTTTTTTTGAGAATACAATAGTTGATTTGACCATTTTCCACTAAAATACATTATTCATTCAATTCACTTTTACTTGTTAAATTTGAAGGAAAAAATGTATTTAATGTGCAACAACAAAAACATGCCAATAGAGACTGAGGAGGATAAACTGTATGTGTTGGAATGTATGCGTCCACGTTTTCTATGGGACCAGGTCCTCAGCACAGTTACAATAACAGAAAATAAACAAAGTGCTGAAAGTAAAGATTGCACAACAACTTTACGTGGAAACCTCCTTGCTCAAGGGAGTAAAACCACGACCTGGCCTGCCAGGACTTTTCAAACTTCTTTCACTAATCTTCTCCAAGCAAAAAGCAAAAGCAAGTTTACAAACCAGGATTAACCTACTAATCCCAACTCTAAGCAATACCTCCTATTACTTAGATGAGCCAGAGCAGATACAACACTGCCCACTAAGCTATCACCCTTAGATAACTTAGACTTTGCTAAGTGGATACAACACCGCCCATTATACTATCCTAACCGATTAATATATACTTTTAGAGTAAGAACCTAAGTTACCCTTAACCTAGCTCTTACAATGATTCAAACAAGTTTGAAACGTTTCTTTCACAAGTGAAACGGATCTTACAATATCAGAACTATTACAAGCAAACAAAAGCAACTGGTAGCAAATCGCATCACTTCAATCAAGTCCCTTGCTGTTCTTGAAGCTTGAAAGACTCTCTCTTTGAATGAATGGGTTAATATTGTTGTATAATGTTTGATATAAACCATGAAAAGTTATTACCAAACGTACAAGCAACATCCTTGCTTCTGATTGGTGAAGTACTCTGCAGCTTTCACCAACTCTCTGACGCAGACAGCTTTTACAGCTGTACCGCACTTTGTCACTGGACGAGCGTACTCTGCAGAGGACCAGGTCCCTGCACTTGTGAGGAGATCATCAAAACACCAAAAGACATAAGCTCTTATCAAGTTATCTGGAAATAAATGTTTACACAAATAACATAGTAATGAGGTGTATACAATTAACTTACTTTTTGGAATGATCCGTGGATTCAACCTGATATGTACCCTCTCATACTATCGATTTCAAACTACTTGAGATCTGTCAAATATGTTATTTTCTTTGCAAGATATATGGTCTCAATTGGGCATCGCTTCTTTAATATTTATCAGTTTAAGTCAGTCCTCCGATGATCCAACTGTACATTTGGTTGGTTGCCTACAATGCTCCAAAGGAGGTTGGGTTCTTGGATTTTGGGATACAATTCATGGTGACACTGCTTATTATTGGCCATAATTTTTATTCTGACCTTGATTTTAGCTTAATACGGAAACTTGACTAGGCATTCAAAACTGCTTCAAATGTTAATTCTTCTAATTGAGACGTATCGCCTCATGAAATTGTTTTCCAGTGTCCATAAATAAGGAGTTTATAAAAGATAATGTAACCAATTTTGTTTGATTTCTTAATTAGGCTTAGTCAACCAAGAGAATTGGGACGTTAATGAACCACAAGTCATGAAGTAAGAATTTCAAAGTAGTAATTCAGGCAGTTCCCCAAACTAATATGTATGTTTTACTGTGCCTCGAGAAATATATAGACACTGCTTGGTATTGTCTAGTGCAACACAACAAAATTTAATAGAAGTTTAATCGAAACAGCAACAGCTGCAACAGAAATTTGCATTCTGTGCATCATAGTGAGTAATAAGTTAATCTCCAGAGACGGTCGATTACAAGACTTCCTTCTTAGACAGATTGATGTTTACATTGCATTATCTTTCAAGTTGTGTAAACGATTGTATATCCATAACAAAAATAAAAAATGTTTTTTATGTAGTTAAATCAAAAGATGAACAGCTGCAAGAGAAATTTTGCATTTCTGCATCTGTAAACTGCAAAACATTATGTCATGAAAAACAGAATTAATACAAAAAGGAAAATAAGATTAAAGTAAATAACAGAACTAATAATAAATATCATGGCCAGTAATTAATAAAAAAAGGTCTATGTCACTTCTACCAGCCAGGGGCAAAAACAAGATTGATATTCTTGAGAAAGGCTTCAGCTACAGAATTAATACAGCATAACTTTGAAATAAACAACCACGTATCAGTTCAATCATGTTGCAAGTCTCATTTCAGAGATTGTCATAATCTGAATCATACTTAATGTCAAAGACTACTTCTGCTTTAGGTAATGCACGCCGAAATGCATTTACTGCAGCAAGCAAATTGTTTGTTTTGGAAAGAGACTCACACAGTTGCCAATGATGATCATCATCTATATAGGGCTTAATTAGCATTCGTACCAACACAGGTGACTTGTCTAACAAAAGCTTGATAAGCTGCATCCCAACCACTGGGGCTAGAAAACCTTCTGGCTTAACTTCCTTGAGGTGACTAAACATCACATCTGATAAACCTTCAAGTTCAAGACATGGCAGAGCAGGACTATCATACACCTAAATAGAAGATAGGCGGAGACGTTTGAATAAGAAAGCCACTAAAATAAGAAAGAGAAAGAAAAAAGACTGTTAATTAAGAACCTGCACAATGTCAATATATTCTAAATATGGGCAACTTTTGATCAGGCAAAGAGCACACAAGATCTCATCCTGTTTATCCAGATAAATAGAAGATAGGCGGAGACGTTTGACAAATTTAAGATCAAACGGAAGCCTTGCTGGTACTCCACCTGTGCCCGCTGCTAAGAAATAAGAAGAAAATGCAAAAAATCAGGATGAGTCAAAGCCCGAAAGATCGATGCTAAGGATAAGAGAATGCATTACAATAAGGAATTAAACAAATTTACCTTGAGAATACCTTCACTCAAGTGAAGATTCTCGAGAACAACAAAAGACTTGAAAAAATTGATAATATCACATTTTGTTGACTTTGCAGAAAAACAATCTTCATCTATAAGCGAAACTTTTGCCAGAAGAGGAATATTCTTTAAGCAAATATATTGTATACTACCACTAAAATCGAAAGATCTCAGCATTGGAGCTTTAATTTCAACAACGCTTGTCAATGTCAACCTACTGAGTTTCAAAACCAATTGCTGGAGAAATGAGCAATTAGAGATCAAACTTTCAAGCAACTTGGAAGAAATTGAGACAGAACATAGTTCAAGGTTTACTAATCTATCAAATTTTTCCAAAGCTGGTGGAAAAACAATCACATAACTTCTGATAATCAGATGCCTCAATTGCAAACATTTGAATACCGATGAAGGCAATTTGCCATCACTCGGTAGTTGAAGAACAAGGTGTTGAATGCCATTTCTTGAGAGGAAAAATATCAAGTTGTCAATCACTGGGCAAGTTTCCAGGAAACAATTAATAGAAAGGGTAAACTTAATAATTGGTCCAACATGAAGGGTCAAAAGGTGATACATAATGTTGGTAAACTGCAAAGTAGGAGGTATCAAGTCATTCGTTCTCAAATGATTTAAATTAAGTGTCAACTCAGGAAGTTTGCACCACTTATATCTCCATCGTTTTGATAAGATGCTTGTCCTCACAATGTCTCGTAAAAGTAAACACATTAGAATAGCATCAGTTACATCACTTGGAAGGTTGCTGAATATATCCACAGAAACACTTTCACGACCAACCTTTTTGTGCTTAGGAGGCATCGTTAAACAGAAATCACCACCACAAAAAAATTCAACTAATACCAAGATATATTAGGTATATATTAACATAATACAAATGAAAGAAGAGGACATTTCTTTTGACCCAAATGCATGCCTAATGTCTTCAGTCCTCAGCTATTTGTAGTTTCAAATGTTGAGAGATTACTTTGGCCTTTTGACTCTTTGGGTTCACCCCTCTTTAATTCATCTTGAAAATGATATTTCTACTTTACTAAAAAAGAGAATGACCATTCAGATTTTCAAAATATTAGTTGATCATTGTACTAAATATAGTTGTCCTATATTAGTTGATCACCTTACTAATCATGAAAGCATCAATTGATTTTTTCCCATATTACTTTTACAATTAATTCTTTTTGTAAGTCTCCACACAGCCACACTAGTTTACAAAGTTCAAAACAAGTTCGTAAGATGTGAATTGGTAAAACTACCATTTATTTATGAGTTCTTAATAAGCATGTAAAAAGGAAAGTGATCAACTAATATGAGACGAAGAGAGTACTCAGAAACAAAAAACCTTAATATTTATGGAACTAAAAACAAGTTTGAATTCTCTACATATGCACTGTTGGGACTTTTTTCATAGTTTAAAATAAATGAATTATTCAAAGTTTAAAAAAATTATTGGAACTTTTTTTTTTCATATTTACCTTTTCTTTTAATAAGATTTTTAATTATTTTTCATTTTCAAGGTGAATAATTTGGGAATAATCAAACGGATAATAATGGAAAATACCCTTTTAATTTATGTTCTTAAATTCTTTTAATTAAGAGATGTGTCATATTCCAACAATGCACTTAATAAGATTCATTTAATATGGAATAGAGAGAGTAACATGCAATATAGTTAAATTACGTCGATAGTATAAAAACTATTCCATTCGTCCACTTTTAATTATCATGGTTTTCTTTTTTAGAGTCAAACGATAATAATTTTGACTTACATTTTACGATGTATTTTTTCATCATATTGATATACAAAAAAATTGGAGTTTATAGTACTTTTCGTATAGCTTTTTGAATATCTAAATTTTTTATTTAAAATATCGGATTTATGTAATACTATAATTTAACTTTGAAAATTAGTTAAATTGACTTTCGAAAAGCGCAATATGACAATTAAAAGTGGACAGAAGGAGTACTTTTTTAGGTCCCATTTTATCATATAATAAAATAATTTTAGCGATTATAGTTTAACAAAGATAACACTGCAATATAAAGGCAACACACTATAATGCACTCCGTGATTACTTGAATAATAGCAGGAAATACCAAAACAACAATATTAGCAAGAAACACATGATTATATAACTTTTGTTGATAATAAGTGTCACGCCCCGAGCCTACACCCTGGACATGGCCGGCACTCGAAGACCATTGTTGGCCCCAAGCGAACCCTTAGCCTGGCTTTCTTAACTCAGCGGAAACCTAACTCAACAGAATAACTCCATACCATGCAAGGACATAAAACAACTTAATTAACTGATAAAATCTGGCCGAAAAAGGCAACTCGAGTCTCAAAATAGAATATTTACATATATACATAGACGAGAGACTCAATACTAACTGACTGACTGTCTATGAAGCCGCTATAAAACTGAGATGGATGTTGGGACAGACCCCGCAACATCCTAATAAAACAAAACTAGGAACACAAAATAACAGAGTCCTCCGGAATGCAAAGAGGCTCACCACTGACTCTGGAGTGCTCAACTGGATCAACGGCGTGCTGGATGCTGATCCTGGGTACCTGCGTCTGCATCATAAAAAGATGCAGGCCAACTAGCATCAGTACATGGAATGTACGAGAATGCGAGCTGGACCCGCTAAACAACAACTTAAGCTTGAAGGGGATACAAAAGAGAACTTACCTTGGCTCTGCTCGACTCATGAATAACTAAACTCAATATAAAGCAATAAGACACATGCAATATATATAAAGCTTGTAAAACTATTTAAAACATGACGTCAAAATCATAGTTATAATATCACAAAATATACCATGCTTCCTCTCAAAGTCTACTTGTGCAATGCATGAATGAAGTCCCATACCCCCATTCATACTAAGCAGAACTCCTTGAAAAACCATGCACTTTCTATTGTGAGAGTTTCTCTAACCGACAACCATCACTATGAACCTAAGTGGTGATACAACGTCTTGCTCACGCTGCCAGAGTTGTCCTATACTTTGCCGTCATATAGAACTACTTTAACTTAGTGGATCCACTAGCTTAACTTTCGTGATCATCTAAAAAGTATGACCCGAGAAATCCCATGTTAGCTACATGGTTCCTATGGAGAGTTGAGTTAATATGAACTCGTGTCCCCAATTCAGTGCTCAAGACTACTCCCAAAAATATTTTAGCTCATAAGTGTTTTAAACACATCTTCCTTTAATTTGAGAAAATTGTTCAAAGCTACCCTCTTAAAAGAGGTAATTGCTCTTGAAACTCTTTTTAAAAGAACACATCAAATCATATTTAATATGATCATTGATGACTCGGAAGTCATACTGCATAAACATTGATGGTATATCTAGAGACCATATTGTTTAAACATTGATGACATACTCGATTGTCATACTAATCATGTTTTAGAAACTCTTTCGCAAACTCATCTTTTTCTTAAAAGAGATAGTACTCAAAATGCTCAAAACTCTTTTGGAAATCTCAGTTTCCTCTTGTCTTAAATGTGAAAACATTTATAAACTTCTTTGGTAATACTTAGTTCCCTAATAACTTTTGAGAAATGAGCTCAACTATTTACTCTTCACTTAACTTGAAACTTTATACTCTTTACTTAACTTGAAACTCTATACTTTTTACTTAACTTCAAAGCTTAAGTCTTAAAACAAGGTTTAAACATTTGTAAAAGACTTCTTAACATATGGTTCATGTCGAATTATGGGTATGAACGACTTGACTCGAAGGTGTACAAGCTAA